TAGAATACAGTTTCTATTTCTTCTCAGGCTCCTTCTGAAACTAGCTTCAAAGCTTTGCCCGAAACCAGCAGGGTTCCCAAGTCAGGGCGTGAGGGCACCCCCGTGGCCACCAAACAGCTCTTCTTTCTGGGTCCCCACTTCTCTGCCCACCCACCTCCATCTTTCAAAACTACTCCTCTGTAAATCCCTGTGCAAGCTGCACAGGGTGCATTCTTAAAGAACTTAAAGATATCTGGAAGGGAGGAATATATATACATAGAAATGGAAAAACATGCTGTGACAGCAGTAACGACTTCAGCCCCAAACACCATCTTCTTAAGGAAATCATCACATCAACAAAGCCCCGTCTAGGCGGGCCCCTGCCCAATGCTCACAGTCCACTAACGAAGTTTCTTGCAGACCGTTAAACAGTCAAACACGTAATTCCTTCCATGCAACTGGCTCTCCTTCACGGCCAAATCAACAGAACTTTGTGGTCATTCTTTTCAGCTGCTGGTGAAAATTGCTATTTAAGACCGAGTCATCACTTCTTTTCCAAAAAAGAATAAGAATGTTGTCATCAGGACTTCCAAGTTAAAAATGTGCCCCAGGCAGCCGTCCCAGTGCAAGGGGTTATGGGGACGTCGTCAGCCCTCCTGGCACCACGGGCCTTGCTACCTTTTTAAAAAGCCTCCTAGCCTCTGTGAGGGGGGGTCTCAGACGGTCTCTCCCCATTTACTTGGGTCCCTGGTGCGGAGCGGTGCACACCCGGACACCCCCATGTGGACATGTGACTCTGCTCGGTTCCAGCCTGATGCATGTCACCACTGCGCTGCCTCTATTTCACGCTCACAGACCAATGGGACTCGCTGTTCCGACTCTCCCAGAAACACACCAACCTGAAGCTGATGAGCCTCATTACACGTATAGACAAATGCTAGCTTTGTACCCCGAGGGGTTAAAAAGCCTTCCAACAACACAAATATTGGGGTGTGGGGGCCGAGGGGAGAGCAAAGGCACGTACACGTGACGTATGACAACGCGTCACCCGCAGACACTGGTGCACATAAAGCACAGGCCCCTCCAACGCATACGCGCAATTCGCCCGGAATGAATCATAGTTTTGTTATTATATTACAAACTTTTTCCAAGGCTGTCATTGGGAACTTGCCAGACAAGACTGTAATTTAATTGTTTAGGCATAAAAATGGCCTGCTGATTAGGGTTTTAAAANGGAGCGCCGGCCCTCTTGCGCGGGGGGCCCTGCGCGCCTGGCTCCAGCTCGCGCTTGCGCTTGTCCTGGCTCACCAGGATGTACTCGCGCCGCTCCTTGTCGAAGGCCACGTCCCCGCCCAGCGCCTCGTCCCATGCGCCGTACTTGAGGTACTCGGCTGGCTCGGCCACCTTGCCCCTGGTGGCCAGCTGCCAGGCCTGGTAGCTGTTGACTGGGTCCAGCTCCGCCACTCGCCGGCCGGCCTGCCCGAGGGCGGGCGCGGAGGCCCCGGCCGGGCACAGGTTCAGGCACTGGAGGAAGAGCTGCTGGGAGTCCCCGGGGCCGAGCGGTGCGCCCTCGCCGGCCGGGGCCCGCGTCCGGCCGGCCTCCACCCGGCGGTGCACGGCGTTGTGGGCGTTCAAGCTGTCCAGGTTTGTAAACAGGTTCCCGCACTTGGTGCAGACTTCGTAGAGGGCCAGGCCGGCCACGATGGCCTCCTCCTGCACCACGTTGTTGATGGTGGCGATGGGGTCCAGCTCGCTCCTGGGCCTGTTCTTGCTCGCCGCCTTCGGGCCGTGCGCCTTCATGTGGTTTTTCAGGAACCACGGCTCTTTGAACCTCCGGCCGCAGATGTGGCAGCCGTGGTCGAAGGAGCCCCTGTGCTTCTTCATGTGCGCCTTCAGGAACCAGGTCTGGCTGAAGGCCTGGCCGCACACCTCGCACGGGAACTCGCCGGGCGGCAGCTCGGGCTTGCCGTTCTCCACGCAGGCCTCGCCCCTGGGCACCTGCGCCGTGATGTGGTCCTTCTCCACGTGGCTCAGCAGGGACTCCTCCCTGAGCGTCACGTAGGGACACAGCCGGCACTTGAAGGGCTTGTGCGCCTGGTGCACGTGCTGCTCGAGGTCCTTCTTGCGCTCGAACCTGCTCCGGCAGAAGGAGCACTGCACCGCCGCCCTGCCGTCCTCCGAGGCGCCCCCGGAGCCCTCCGCCTCCTTCTTGCTGCTTCTCAGCAGGATCTTGCTGCTGTCCCCCTGGGTGGCGCCGTTCAGGATCCTGTTGCAGGCCGAGGTGCTTTTCGTGGGGCTGGTGCAGCCGTCCAGGCCCTCGGACACTCCCATCTCGCCGGCCTCGGGCTCGTGGGCCTGGATCAAAGTCCCCGTGCGGTGACTGCGAATGTGGATCTTCAGGTTGCCCTTCTGGGAAGCCCTGTGGTCGCAGTAGGGGCACTTGTAGGGCTTCTCCCCCGTGTGCTTGCGCATGTGCTGCGACAGGGAGCTCTGGAAGGGGAAGCTTTTGCCGCAGATGCAGCAGCTGTGGCTCACAGCCTTGTCCCCGTCCGCCTCTGGGCTCCTGCTGGCCCCGGGGGGGCTGGGGCCCCTCCTCAGCTCCACGTCGGCCTCTTGGTTACGATCCATGTCGGGGACAAGGACTCGCCCAGCCCCGGCGGGCACGGCTTTGTGTCAGGCAGGCCTGCGGGTCGAGGTCTTATCTCTCCATGTTCATAGGAGCCTTCTGCCTCCCAGCTGCAGACATGCACCTGCCACCACCATGTGCATGTCCTACCTGGAGAGCATGGCGGCTGGCAGCGAGCACCTGGAACAGAAGAGACACGGAGAGCTTAGGGACAAGATTCCCACGTGAACGGGGACCCAGTGACACCCACGGACCGTGATCCACACACCTCTCCTAAAAATAGCGACCTCGTCCAAATTAAAGAGGCACCAACAAAAATCCTAAGAGACGTACAAGGAGCTGCTTTCCTCTCAAAGATCAAAAATTAAGCAATTAGGGGCAACCGGTGAGCTCAGTTGGTTAGAGCGCAGCACTCCTAACACCAAGGTTGCCGGTTCGATCCCCACATGGGCCACTGAGCTGCAACCCTCCACAACTAGATTGAAACAACTACTTGACGTGGAGCTGATGGGTCCTGGGAAAACACACTGTTCCCCAATAAAAATAAAAATTAAGCAATTAACTATTGATAATAATCATGTGCTAAATCATTAAAATAAACCATTGGAAATGGCTATGCAGTAAAGTAATTTTTATCAAAAAGATATAAAATCTTTAACAAAAGACTGGCCAGACTTCCCGCGCGCGCGAGAAACAGCTACAGGATGCAGAGCGCGTAGGAATGAGCAACAAAGAGAACCGGGGAGATGGAGACGGGCGGCCAAGAACCGCCGGGAGGCAGGGCCCTGGCGGAAGGTAAGTGAGCTGCAAGGCGCCCCCTGCGAAGGCACTTACTAAGGTGTGCAGAGCGGGAAGTGAGGCGTCGGCTAGGAACACGGGTCATTTAGTGAGAGAGGTAAGTGCGGGAAGGGCCCCCTCGGCCCCCTCACGACCTGTGCCCTGTGTGACCCAGCTGCTCCAGGCCTGGGTGGCTGACGCTGGCAGCCAGGGGTGGGTGACCACGAGACCACTTCCACAGCAATGTTTGGTCTTCGCCGCCTCTTAGAGAGCCCAACCTCCTTGGCGCTCCCTACAATGCCCTTCCTGTCCTGGTCCTGTGCTTCTTCTCCTGCTCTCCCCGCAAAGGCACCCTAAACTCCGGCCAGAGGGCTGAGTCCTGAATGCAGAATCCCCCAATGACCCCGGGAGGTTCAGCGGCCTCCCCTCTTCTCCACAGGTCAGATTCCCACAGTGCCTTCCTTCCCGGGGAGGCTGGGTCTGCCCCTCCCTGGTGACAGCAGTCTCACACAGTTTCATCACTGTCACTGTCATGCCCGTCTGCCCTCCAGGGAATGACGCACAGGCCGACGTGAGCTGCTCCTCCAGGCACCTGGGCATTTCCAGCATCCAGGACCTGCTGAGTGGGCAGGGGCGTCCAGCGCTGTACCTGGCACCCAGCAGGCAAGCCTCCATTCTGCAGGAAAGCCAGCCACGTGCCTGTAAACCACCAAGTGGGCCCAAAATGGTACACACTGAGAAGCCACTGTGTGCATTCAAAACAGGACTTTCCATCTGACTTGTGGTAAGTAGAACGTAAACCAAACAAGGAGCCCTGAGAAGGGACGTGAGACACGGGGTGCCTTTCAGGAGGGTGTTCTCACGGGTCCTACGGGAGGCGGGAGGGCGAGCCCACAGCTTCCCCAGGACACTTGTCCTCGCCCCGCAGGAGGACGAGCACCTGCTTCGGAGGCTCTCAGACTGGCACCGAGACGTACCCAGAAGGGCAGGGTTTCTTTCGGAAAGCTGACACGTGTAGACAGGAAGCTGTGTTTTGAGAGTCACAACCTCATACACACTAAGAACTCAGATTTAAAAACTGACATGAGAACAAGTTATGTCTCTGATTTTGAACCAGTGTATCGATGCCCATTTTTTGTTCAAAGATGAGAGGTTCTCTCCCGAAAGAACCTGGGCAGCGACTCTGCTTCTCTGGGTGGTCCCACCTGCCATGTTTCCACCGGCGCGGACACCAAAAAGAATACTGACCACAGAGAAGAGGGGTGGCGGGGGCGGCCCCCAAACACCCCCAAGGCGCCAGGTTCTGAGCGCTCACACTTCCGTTCCCCCACTTTGCCGAGGGTGGAGACATCGTCCCACGGAGGCCTTGTGAAAGCCCAGCACACCTGCTCTCTCCAAGGCCTCCTCTACAGGCCCGCACAAAGGTGAAATCTGAGTGAGAAGTAGGCATTCTGAAGCGCCTTGCAAGAAAGCCCATGCGCGCATGCCTCCCAGGCAGGTGAAGAAGCCACGCAGGCTGATCAGCAAACCCTGAGAGAGGCCAGGAGACAGCTGCACACAGTCCTTCACCCGTCAGGCTAACAGGTGTGCACGGGTCCGCCTAACGCAGCGGTTCTCCACCTTCCTGATGCCGCGACCCCTTAACACAGTCCCTCATGTTGTGGTGACCCACAACCATAAAATTATTTTCGTTGCTACTCTACTGTTATGAATCGTAATGTAAATGTCTTTTTGTTTTCCGATGGTCTTAGGCGACCCCTGTGAAAGGGTCGTTCGACCCCCAAAGGGGTCGCAACCCACAGGTTGAGAACCGCTAGTCTAACGGGACAGGGAGCCCCCAAAAATGACTCCGACAATAAGAATAAACAGCCCCCCACAGAAAAGTGGGAAAACCAAAGGAGGTTAATGAGAACACCTCTTAATGACATTTTAAGCTAATTTAAATGATTTCTCGAAGCGGTTTTAGTCTTGGCACTAGTTTCTGGGTGGCTGTACATTATTTATGATGATTTTATAAGGCAAATGATTTGCACATATCCGCTTCTATCCCAGGGTTTATTTCATCCCCTCAAATGTTGAATGTGACATAATATGTAAAAGCATGAATAAAACATTCTATTTATATTTAACTCAGTGACCTAATCTGGGTATAAAAATCTCAGGAGTTTAAAAAACTATACAGAAATTAGTTTACGGAGGGGGAAAAAAAACAACTGAAAAACTGCAAACTGCTGGCACTGAAATAACACTGGACCTCACCTGACCACTAAGTTGGCTCATAAAGGATGTGAAATGCCACCGAGTTCTCGAATGCAAGGGGATCTTTCAGAGCCGGGTGGCAGTTCTGGGGTGGGCGCATGGAGACCCCACCTCCGTGACGTCCAGGTGAGGCAGGTTGTGGGGTTTCGGCCAGTGCTGAGTGGTACAGAGTGGA